TCTTTCTTATTTTTTTTTTTTTAAGTATGTTTATTTCCTGAGAGGGAGAAAGAAGGGGTGGCAGACAGGGTCCTCCCTGAAGCTTTGTAGCAGCCAGCATGGCAGACCTGCGCCTTCAGGTAAACCCACCTGCCTTCCCATGGTCTGGTGTGAGCATCGCACCACAGCACCCCTACTGCCTGCAGGGCTGCAGCTGAACCCAGAGTACTCTCTCTAGTTCCACAACAGCGTTTTCTCAGACTGTCCGAGTATACTCATTTTCATCACTTCGGCCTGTTGAAGGCTTCTCCCGTCTCCATCTCCTGTCCTTATCTGTTGATGTATTTTTGTTATTCACTGGCCGTTGAGTACAGTCATGTGATGGCAGATAGCAGGAAAGGACCTAGTCACTAGGTTAAGGTAAAGCGAACAGTGGAGACGACCTGACTTCATTTCATTTGTACAGCATTCATTTAAAACGTACATATGTCATGAAAATATTTTCCTTGCTGCTTATTAGTAGTTTTGGTAGAACACAAACGTAGAAAACTAGTCCGCTAGAAGCGATGGGAGACTCTCTAAATGGAAAAGAAACATTGTTTTCTCATTGCTGTATTGTAAGTGAGTGTTAATCCCCTCTGGAAATGCCTCCAAAGACGGTGCCTTTGCTTTTTTTAATTTTAATTTTTGTATTCCTTGGTTAGGCTTATACAGTGTTAAAGTTCAGCACGAGGTTTTTGAACCTATCCTCTTAAGCAGACAGTAGTTTCCCGTTTTGCTCTTTTCTCAGCCATTGTTTTTGTGTGACAGAGTACTTTTCTCCTTTGATAGTCACAAGGCTTGTGGAAAATTTAATAAGAAAAGAGGAACCAAAAACTTGCTTATGTAATTCAGTGATACTTCCAGCTAACACATGCAGTCATGTGCTGCATAATACCGTTCCAGTCAGTCTGGACCCGGTGTCACGGCGGCCCCGCGAGATTATGCTGGTCCAGGCCACCTAGCCTAGGGTTACAGTCGGCTGTGCCATCTAGGTTTGTGTATGTTTGCACGATAACCAATTCTCCTAATGACACATTTCTCAGAAAGGAGCCCCTGTCTTTTTCTCCTTTGTGCTAGAGGGTGTGTGCACTCACCAGAGAAAGAGGGAGAGAAGCAAGCACCTCCTCTCTTCATCTCTCCCTTCTTTCGGAATTTCAGGCATACATCACATGCACCAGCGTGCTTCTCAAGCCACTGGGTTCAGGACTTGAACATGCTATTGACTATGTGGGAACCTGGCGGCCCGTACCAGCAGGCCATGAGCCGATCCACATATCCCCCTGTTGAAGCAATACGATTGTACGATCATGTAGCACACACCTGCTGTGTCATAGGAAACTCTCTGATTCTTTTTTCTCCTCTCCTCTGGTCAGGACCGAGGCATCTCAATAAAATGTATGCCACTGCCAGTCAAGTGATGAGTCAAGTAGCTATGAGGGAAACAGTCCTAAGTGAAGTCATAGAATAACTTGGGACTGAGGTAGACAAAAGGCCCTGCCTCTCCAACAACTGATACAGCTGAAAGAGGAAAAACAAACAAACCAAAAAAAAAAAAAACCCACAACAGCTCTGCTTTTATTTATTTTCTCTCTCTCTCTCTCTCTCTCTCTCTCTCTCTCTCTCTCTCTCTCTCTTTCTTTTTTTCATGAGAGAGAGAGAAAGACATGAGCACCCTCAGTGGGATTCACACTGTGATCCCTCAAGCCTTTCCAGGCAGCTTGGACACAGGTTGGCCCAGAAACTGATCCCAGTGCTTCCTATGGCTTCTGGCAAGTCAGAGTAGCACACCCCTGCAGGGCCGCGCAGCTGGACCCCTGCGGGTTTCTTCTCATGAGGGAATAGATAAGTCTAGCCACAAGATGGACTTGAGCCACGAGTTGGGGCCTCAGGGCTCAAATGTAGTCAAAATAGTGTCAGAGTAATCCTGGGTCAGATCTAGGCCAAGTCCTCCAGGGAGAACTAAGAGTAAAGCCGGAAATCTAAATACCACTCCCAAATCTCAGTGAATAGGAGTGGATTCCTCAGTGGCCAACAGCTGAGAGTCAAGATCCAAGCGAAGGTAATTAGAAAGGGAGCAGGAGGAATGAACAAAGCTCTGCAGGTAGCCTTTGTCTCCACCCTGCGCTGCAGGTTTATAGTTACTTGGGTATCTCAGATTTGCTTGGAAGTACAGAGACAGGTCAGCCAGCAATGGAATAGATTTAAGGTAAAAAGAGAGTGATTGCAAGGGCAGGAAACATCGTGCCTATGAGAAGTGACAAGAGATCCCAGATAGGATTTCTCCGCGTTTTAAACTTTTGCCAGGCTGATTGAGATACATATGAAATGGTGTAGATGTACTTGCTACATAATTTATACCCTGAAGTGTCTTCATATTATAATAGAAACAGAACATTTAAACAGATGTTCTGGGGCCAGCAGGTGGCGTGGTAGTCAAGGTGCTGGACTCCTACATGGCTGACCACAGTTTGAGTCCCAGACCTGGTAGCTTGCTTTCTCACTTTCCCTCTCCCTCTCTCTCTGCCTCTCTGGTGAGTGCACATGCCCTATAGCAAATATAATAATAAATAAAATAGAATTAGTAATTCTTTTAAAAATAAACAGATGTTCTAAAATAGTTACTCTGTTACCATGAAAGGAAACAAAAATACAGAAAGGCTTATGAATGTGGTATCTAAATCTTCCTTTCCGATCCCTTAAAGATGATGATAGTGAAATGTTTCCCCCAGAAAGGCAATGATAGGGCGCTTTCTACTTGGGAGCTACTTGGGAAGGCCACTCGATCGTCAGAGTCCCCATTCAGGATGAACAGAAGAATTCTTAGACCTGGGACACAGTTGTCGTGAGGTACTGCAGAAGTGTGCAAATGCACGTGAAAGCAGCTCGTACGTCCTAAAGCATCATACAGATGTCAGTCATGTCCCCAGAACCCAGTGCCCTCCGAGGCTCTGGCCAACCTTTCCCAAGCCGTTTCTTCCTTTTCTTAGTTAGGTAGATTTCCCTATTCCTAATAACAGTGACACTACTTTCAGTCTCTCCTTCGAATTCCAACTCTTACCGATTCTTCAGGGCCTTTTGCAAATGTCACCTCTCCCATGAAATCTTTCCTGACTCCTCAAGAACCAGACATGCCTTGTCGTCACTCTGTCTCTCTTCCCCACTGCACTGCTTTTCAGCTTTTGTTTTTTGTTTTGTTTTTCGTGTACATATGGTTTTGTTATAACACCGCATATTTGTTCCTGAAAAACCTCATGTTCTACTAAATCATGTACTAAAAATAAATAAGAGTTATGGGAAAAGAGGATTATAAACAGACCATTTAAAATCTACCTAACCAAAAAAAGGTAGGAAAATATCTATATGACTGTCATTAGAACCCTAATAAAAATAATAATCCTAATAAAAAATACTAGCACAGTTAAATCTCCACTGGCATTGGCACCTCCTGATAGAGTCAGTCCATCCTCTGCAGCCCTATTCCTGGGGTTTATATTTTCTTCCAGATTTGCTGCTGCTGCTTTTTTTTTTTTTTTTAAGAGAGATTTTTGCTATAGGGCACATGCACTCTCTGGAAAGACAGAGAGAGACAGGGAGACAGAAAGCGAGAAACCACTCCCTAGGAGGGATGGCCACATTGCAATCCCCTCTCCTCTGTTCTGCTCTCTGAATTTTGGGCACGCAAGCACACGTGCCTAGCATGAGTTTCAAGTTGCCAGGTCTGGGACTTGAACTGTGGTCAACTATGTGGGAGCCCAGCAATGTTACATTATGCCATTTGCTGGTCCCTGGATTTGCTTCTTGTAGAGACTGATTTCATCAGAATTAAAAATACCATATGGAATATCCTTCTTCATCATTCAGTTTTTTATTGTGATTGTGTTCTGTTTTGTTTTTAACATAGTTGGAATATCTTTGCATCATTTCCATTCACACTTGTCTCTTCCCCTGGTAGATGAAGATAATGGAAAATACAGCAGTTCTTGGAACTACAAAACCAGATACTTTGTGCAGAAGACACTTATGTAGGGTTTCATCTTTTATTCTTAACTTATTGGTAAAACTTTCTCTTTAATCGAGAGGAAGCTTGTCCATGCTAGAAAAATTCCGTAGGAACCAATATGCTCTGTGCATTTAACTGACACCATTTTCTTGCTTACCCATCTCACAGAACTAAAGTACACTAAAGAAATGAGGGGACCAGCAGTTGGTGTAATGGCTATGTCGCTGGACTCCCACGTAGTCTACCGCAGTTCGCGTCCCAGACCCAGTGGCTTAAAACTCACGCCAGGCGCGTGTGCATGTGTGCCCAAGATCCCGAGAGGAGAATGGAGGAGAAGGGATTGCAGTGTGACCATCCCCCCAGGGGAGTGATTTCTTGCTTTCTGTCTCTCTGTCTCTGTCTGTCTGGCGAGCGCACGCACCCTATAGCAAAAACCTCTTCAAAAAAAAAAAAAAAAAAGAAAAGAAAAAGAAACGGGCAGGGCTGGCAGGTGGCATGGGGGTTAAAGGCACTGGACTCCCACATGGCCAGCTTCTGGTTCGAGTCCTGGACCTGGTGGCTTGCTTTTCTCATGTTCCCTCTCTCTTTCTCTGGTCAAATTTAAAAATAATGATAATAATAAAGAGTGAATAAAATCATTCTTAAGAAGAAAAAAAGCAAAAACAAATGTGCTTCATTGCAGGATGGATTAGTCTCATCCCCTATCTCTCCATGGTCTGTGAGGTCCCTGAGGACCGGAGTTGTCTTTACCTCATCTCTGTGTCTCTGACAGTGCCTGGCGCAGTGCCTGATGGGAACTCTAGAAGTACTGAGTTGTCAGAAAAGTCAGGACAGGCTTTTTTCTGATTTTCTATGTAAAAATGTGTCCTAACTTTTCCAAAAACCCAGTTATCTGCTGTCTTGAATTAAATTATTTGTTCTGCCGCGTGGTAAAGCTACACTAGATGGAAGGCCCTTAATCAGTTCTGTCTTTCTTTAGAATGTAAAGAGGCTCCTGCAGAACCCCAAAGTGACAGAGTTTGACGCTGCCCGCCTGGTGATGCTCTACGCTCTGCATTATGAGCGACACAGCAGCAACAGCCTGCCGGGACTCATGATGGACCTCAGGAATAAAGGTGTTTCGGAGAAGTATCGAAAGGTAACCGCATTTATGTCTTAAGCCACCAAACAGGAACCAAATCTGTTACTGTATCTTAGCTTTTTTTTTTTTTTTTTGAGAGGTTTTTGTCATAGGGCGCATGTGCTCACCAGAAACACAGAGAAAGGGAGAGAGACAGAAAGTGAGAAATCACTCCCCAAGGGGGATGGCCATGCCACAATCCCTTCTCCTCCATTTTCCTCTCGGGATCTTAGGCACGCACATACATGTGCCTGGTGTGAGTTTTAAGGTGCTGGGTCTGAGACTTGAACTGTGATCAACTACATGGGAGTCCAGTGATAGAACCATTACACCATTTGCTGGTCCCTGTATTCTTAACTTTAACAAATGCTAAATTATACTGTTTTTACTTACAGAAATGTGTAATTCTATATTCTCGTGTCTATATTTCCTTAATTGTTACATTCTTTTGAACTGAGCTTCCTGCTCCCTAAGCAATAAACAGTTGTTTCTCTTTTTTTGATAGCTTGTGTCTGCAGTTGTTGAATATGGTGGTAAACGAGTCAGAGGAAGTGACCTCTTCAGCCACAAAGATCCTCTGGCTATCACCAAACAGTTCCTCAAAGGCCTGAAGGTAGAGACAGCTCCTCTGCTTTCCTGTCTGAGAAACCATTGAAGCCCCCGAGGCAGATGTGAAGGAGCGTGGTCTTCCAGTACCTCAGGACTGCTGTGGCTTTAGCCCTGCGTCAATGCAGTGAAACGAAAGCAGACATCCTCTTGACAGCTTTTGCTTTTAGTGCTTTCTGTACTGAAGCAGTATCAGCACTGGACCGATTAGCTGAGCAGGAAATAGCTAGAGGTATTTCCAGGAAATGCTTCAGAGCAAAAAGACAAACAATTCTGTTTGTCACAGCTATTTCATTCCATTTGTTTATAACTTAAAGTTTGTTAGGTAGAGTTTGCCTTTTAAGGAAATTAGAGAGATAGCAGACATTTGTTGATCTTTTCAAAATATAAACCTGTTTTCTTAAAATGGTAAAAAATTAGTTGTTTTTTTTTTTTAAAGAGATTTTTGCTATAGGGCACATGCGCTCCTCGCCAGAGAGACAGAGACAGGGAGACAGAAAGCAAGAAATCACCCCCCAGACGGCCACACTGCAATCCCTTCTCCTCCATTCCCCTCTCAGGATCTTGAGCACGCATGCACACGCACCTGGCATGAGTTTTAAATCTCTGGGTCCAGGACTTGAACCATGGGCACTATGTGGGAGTCCAGCAACGTAACCATTATGCCATCTGCTGATCCCCCCAAAATTAGTTTTAATCTACTAGCCTTTCTGATGTTTCCTGAAGTTTATCCATTTTCCTGAGTATTTCCTGTCTCCTTCTCTACACAATCTTTCTTTTTATTTGCTACTTCCCAGTAAGCATTTTCACAAAAGAGTGAGCATCGATGAGGATATGATAAAGGATTTAAGTAATTCCATTTTTCACATTCTTTTGCAATAGTTAGCCTGAAATTACAGAGTGTTTTTAATGAGACTGGAACATTTCTCGTCGATTAAAACAATTTTAAATCTTAAGGTTCCTATTCGAAGCTATCCCATATCTCTGTGTAGTGTTTGTCTTTTTCTAATGTGAATGTTATGAACTGTTATCTTGCTAGTTTCCCAAAAATGACATAAGAACCAATTTCCCGTTTTAGGGAGTAGAAAATGTGTACACACAGCACCAGCCGTTCCTGCATGAGACCCTGGACCACCTCATCAAAGGCAAGCTGAAGGAAAACCTGTACCCTTATCTAGGCCCCAGCACGCTCAGAGACAGGTAAGGCCACAGAAGATTAATAATAAGAAACAGGAACACTAAGCAGATAGGAAATTTAATGTTAGGACCAAAAATAGAGATTATATCATTCTGCTCCTCCTTCCCCTGTAGCTTCAGTTCTGAGACTCTTCTGGGTTTACATATGTCCCTTTTAGAGGTGAATTTCCCTGCTAAGCCTGAAACATTTATTTGTTTTAAAATAAAGAAACAGGTGTTTGGAAGGCCCCAGATCCTTGTGTTCTGTGTTTTAGTTTCAGACCAGTTTGCTTATGCCATTTAAGGTTCAGTTCTATGGCATCTGGCATTTGGAGTTTCAAACAGTAAAGCCGAAAATAGACTTGCTGCTTGATTGTCATCCAGAGCAAGTTGTTACTATTTTGGATGAGGACTGGACTTTGCCAAATGTGGTCAGCACACAAACTGAGAGACCTAATTAATAAAGACCATTCGTTACACAAGAGAAAAGGATGGTTTTCTTTTCAAGTATTAACTAAATGAAGCAGTTGTCGTTTTAATCCAGTGACTAGTTAATTCTAATAAAAATAAAACTTATCCAGACAACTTATTTAAGTCAACCTGAAATTTTAAATATATATACATTCTACCTAGTTAAAAATTATATTCTAATATTTTAAAATAATTACTTATTCATTTATTTAATTTCATTTG